TCTAACACTGTGATCTCTTCTACAAGAAAATATGTCCCCAATAGGCCGAAAACACTTTATATTGTTTGATCATTTCACCTTATGTTTGTGTCTGATCGTGCTGACACAAACAGAAAAATAAGTAAATAGGGTCATTTGACTTATCTGTCTTTATTCAGTAGCAAAAATATTATAATTATAAATTTGGAAGAAATTCCCAACTTTAGTTAAATTTGACAGTACTTGTTTGGACTTGATTTTACAGAAGAACAAATGTGTAAAAAAAGCTAGATTTGTGATGTTTATGAGCAAATAGCTCCACTGTTTGACTACATGTGAATGTGTGGAAGGAACTCTTACATTTTTATACTTTAATTTTTCAAAGATTTCAAAGTGATGAAAATGGGTTTAATAAATACTTTAAAAAAAGGCACACTTATTTAGCTACACATCAGTTATCAATGTAAAGATGAAAACAAAATAAAGGCCTAGCATTTCCTGAAGGAATGCATATCACCTGCTGCCTTTCATATCAGAGTTATACACTAAAATCATCTTATGATAAGAAGCAATGTCATTTTTCATCAAACTTCAATATTGACATTATGGAAATCCACATGTATTGTCACATTATGTCATGCTCCGTGTATGTGTAGTGAATAACTCCTAGCTACTGCCACATAACATTTTAGTTAATTAAATTGTAGAAAATTCCATTATTCTATTAGGTTATAATGTATCATCTCACATTAGCCATGTTTCCATCCAATTGTAATGTGAACTTTTGAACAAACTTAAAAAAAGAAAAAAAAAAAGAAAAAAAAGAAATGTGAACCAGAACTGCAAAGCAGTTATGACTGGKGTCCAAGCCTGTTTGTGCATGTTAACCTTGGCCCAAGTCATGCCCAGCACCCAGTCTACTTCTGCACAACAAAGTTATAACATGAGGAAATTCAAATTAGGCATGTTTCCATCTACTGGTTTGTAGTGCATCAACCAGGCTATGCAGAGAATAATTCTGTCACACACTGATGTTACACATGGCTATAATAAACAGGAACTAGAGGTTGCAAACTAGTAAGGACCGCACATCTCTGGACAATAGAGATAAGTTATCAGGCAAGTTGCTATTGTTCTTTCATATCAACAAGTATTGGCAATGTTACATGATGATTGCTGTCTGCAGATCTAGAAATACAATTCTTATGGGAATATCAGATGATGAATCATGGTTATTTATTTATTTATTTATTTATTTATTTATTTAATTGCCTTTATCTGTTACAGGGACACTGTATATTAATAAAATATCTGTAAATATGCCAAAATTAGCCAGAAGGCTATTTTTCACCTGCAGTCACTAGACAGCTGGTAAAAGTTGCCCTAAAATATTAAATGTAAAACTTCATAATTATAAAATAACAATTACAATACACTTCAAAATAATTAAAATACTATAAGTTAACTGCATACAAAAACACACTAGTAGAAAACATCAAACAACACAATAAACCCGCACATGAGATAAGACGGATGATGACAGCAGAGGGAAGAAGAGACGGTCTAATTGTAATCTAAAGTTGACAGCTCTGGTTATCAATAAGCCATTTCTTTAACAGTATTTTAAATGTTTTATAGTTTGAATTTCTGAGAATCACAGGAGTGAGATTCCATTTGGTGGCAGCTCAAACAGAAAAGGTATTTTTGCCAAAAGCACTTTTCCTAAGAGGAATAACACAATCTCGAAGAACTGCACCTCTGGTTCAGACATGATTAGATTTTCGGATTTTAACAAACTGTTGAAGTGTGTGTGTGTGTGTGTGTGTGTGTGTGTG